ATGAATTTATAATTGGAAATTATGTGATTTTTCTTATATGCAATGTGCGCTCTTTTCAGATACGCTACTGCTTGTTGACACCTCTCTAACTCCGTTGGCATTTGAAATTGTTTGCTGTTGTTGTTGGTTGTTTACGTTTTGTATGCCTCGCCGCTAAATTGGCTTTTGTCTGTCAAGCGCTATTTTTTTCGCCGCCAACATNTGTTTTACATATTGTTTGCGTATCCTTTTTGTTGCGCCGCTGCTGTTGCTTTGATGTTCCGTGTGTTAATTAATGATGTGTAGTTTAACTCTTTTTGTTTTGTGTTTTTCGATTGCCGCTTTCACAGCTACTTTGCATACCAACACAGTGGCAACATTTTCTCATGCTCCAACAAATATCATTAATCAGTTTTACTTACTTGCTGCTTCCTTGATTTGTATTGGTTTCGCATTTTTGCGCCACATGGGTTTCTAGTTGTTTTGATTTTTTTCATTCTTCTTCAATTCATTTTATTTTATTTGATTAAAGAATTCCTGCAACTGTTATCCTTTCGTCTCATTAACTCTTTTGTTCGAATTTGACTTGCGTTGATATTTGTTTGCTTTGAAGAAGAAAGAACAAATATTAGCTTTACCACTTCCGCAGCCACTTTCACTTCCTTACATATTTCTCCTTCGCTATTGCGTGAGAATTTCGCTATTTCTCCTTCTGCTGGCGCTTTGTTACTTTTTTTTTTTTGCATAAATCCGCTAATTAATGATGTTTTCAGCCGGTTGACATTTGCTGGCAACTGTCAGTTGTGTTTAATCCTTTTAATTAGATTTTTTAATTAATTTTCGATTTTTTCCATGTAAAGGATTTTGAGAATATGTTTCGTCGGCTGTAGGTATTTGCATATTAATTAAAAGTGATTTCACTCTTGCTAGCACAAAGCGAGATATGTATAGGATATGTATTTTTTATTTTTATTTTTTTTGGGGTAACTTTTTTATTTCATTCTAAGTGAGGACTTAGGTATTTGCAATAGGAGTAATGGACCTACGTTTTATACTGCGATAAGGCGCGTGATGTTTGACTTTATTTTGGTCTGTTGGTTCTTTGATACACCATATGTCCGACTTGTTAGTTTTTATACTCAGCTCTTTTCGAACCAATGGTATATTTAATTCTCCCTGGAAAAATATCATCCTCATCTTCAAGAAGCATAACCCGGGACATCTGGAGCTGTAAGCTTCAGGTGCTACTTATTCTCAGAAGCATACCAAAAGCGAGAATCTTATGTATAAGTACTAATCAGCATGATGCATGGTGCAGCACCATATAAAACTCGTGCCTCCTGAGGAGGCCTCCTCTTTTTATATTTATTCTTCTTTATTGGAGTCCAAAACAGAACGCCAGTCGTTTCCCTGCTGCGCCAACTCAGGCCAATTGGAAATGCCAAGTGACGCCAAGTCCCTCTCCGCCTGCCAGTATCGCAACCCGCATTGAATACTTTCAGAGCTGAAGCGCTTCTGTCCATTTTAATTCGCTGCACTCTGTCTATACCATTGTATAGCTAATTCAGTTCATCGTTAAATCTGCGTATTCGACATTGGCCACGCGCAAAGGCACGTAAATATTTCGCAGAATCTCTCGAAAACTTCCAAGAGCCGCTTTATAAGATGTTTTCATTGTCCATGCCACCGCGCCTCATAGACAATGAACAACAAGAACATGCCTCGGGCAACACAAAATCTAGTTGGTAGACGACGGAGCACAGTGTATACAACTGTTATATTTTTATGAAAACGGGCGGCTTGAAATTCATTAAATTTCTCGGCTTTGTAAAGCTCAATAATTTAAATTTAATTTTCGTTCTTTAAAATATTTTTTTTTTTTTAGTTTATTAAAAAAGTTACATTGGCGATCCTCTTGCGTCATTTTCGACGAATGTGGGACCACTTTTTATTCATAATTTTAAAACAAGTTTTTTGTATGCAGTTTTATAGCCCATTCAATTTTAGTGTAATAAAGTGCAAGTTTCAAGTGGCTACAAAATACCATTAATTTTGGGCAATTTTTTTTGGTACATAATTACATGGGCTTGTTTTCCGCTTGCTCTGCGGCAGAATTGTCGTACCAAGAGTGTGGCATCATTTCTATCTATCAAACGCAGGGTCAGTAGATGAAATATTCGGTAGGCGGAATTCTGTCACCCTTTCTTTGCGAAAGCTTGATCGCTTTCGAAAAGTTAAAATGTCGAACTTCGTGATAGATGTGGTTGACACTCATAACAAAGTGAACTACAGAAAATAAGAAAACGCAGTTCTAACTTATAAAAAAGTGGCAGAAAAGCCTTTAGGCGAAAAACGCCCTCTCTGCTAAAAATTTAGTTTTACAAAGATCAAAAACTCAGAGCTTTCCATTCAGATACGACTTTCCTATCAAATGTTTCGTATAACTGAAAAAAATTAGATAACAGCGATTTGTCAATTTAGTACGGCTCATCTGTTTTTGAGTGTTGCCTATGGATCGCTGACAACTTCTAATAAAGTTGAAAAAATGCGCACGATAATGCCTATCTCACGACATCTTGAAAATAGAGCATAAATCACAAAATACAAGGTTTGTATAATTGTTGTTATGAATCCGAATATATTTCGATTAATAAAACTAAATACATAGTCATATTAAGTTATGACTGACTTCAGTGTTAATTAATTTTCAAAAAGCTAGCTAGGCTGGAAAATTAAACATATAAATATACCAGTTGAGCTGCCATTTAAAAAAACTGCGCTGTCATTCTGTCTAATGTATGTAAGCTTGCGTCATCCTTGCCTGTCTGAAAGTTGCATGACAATTTGCTACACATTTGCCCTGCTAGTACTCCCTAAAAGCACACATACATGCATGCATCAACTTTTCCCTCTTTTTTTTACTTCGTTTTGACTTCCGTCATTCATGCTAATCCTTTACATTTGGAAAAATAAAGATTCTTTTACTTAACATTTGGTCACACCACTTGCCCGCTGCGCCCTTTAGAATTCTTTGCCATCGGATTCATATACGATTTCGTATACGATTTCTCTTTCGCCTTTCTATATCCTTTTGCATCTTTGATTAATCCATATGCGTTTGAATGACATGAACTAATCACAAAACGTGACGTCATTCGTTACCCCCCTTTATTATGATTTTTATTAATGATCCTGGAGAGTCTCATATTCCTCCTGTATAACAACAAAAACATGTTTGATTCATGTTATAAAAATGTCAAAATTCATTAATGTTTTCCGTTTTTTTTTTGTGATTCGAATTACATATTTCTAAAAGCCTCCACTCCATTGCTTCGGCACTATTAATATATTTTATTACGCTGCCTGACCACAAGTCATGCTGTCACTTCACTTTGTCTGCCCGCGGCACCCTCAGCATTTCCTATCAAGCACTTCGGGTATTCCACATCTACGTTTATTGGATTTGCAGGCAATTAAATGTTGTAACCATATCAACTTTTTTATTGCGATTGACCCCTTTCTTGCGCATTTTGAATATTTTGAAAATTTCTAGGTTGATAGTTACACCACTTTTTATTGCTACTTACTTACCCTCGCGTTACGTTGGTATATTCAGTACTCTTCTTTTTAACTTCTTCAATAAAGATTAATGATGTGAGCGAATTGGCTCTTCAGTTTTCTTTTTATTTTATTTCTGCGTCAATTATAATCAGCTTTACAAAGCAGCTCAAAGATCGCAACATTGAAATAAGCAATTAATTACCTTTTTACTGCTTCGCTTTTTACCCTTTCTATAAGTGAGCTTTCTCGACAGTCTAAGGGCCAATCTAAGTCCCGATTTATTATTCAAAAATACTTATTTTCAGATTAAATATTCAAACTGTATTTATGTAAATGTCCAATATCTGATATTGGTGCTATTTTAGCGAAATTTCGGTCAATTGTAGGCTTATGTGTACGTACTGGTAACGTCTGTTCGCTAGCCAGTAAAAGTAAAAAAAAACAAATCGGATCATGATCCTTGAAAAAAATTAAATAATTAGACCAGCGGAAGAGATAATCTGAAGCTGCATCCCCGTGGATGCAATAGGCCCCTTACCCAGCGTCTCTTGACAACAATAACATTCCTGGTGAATGCGATTGTGGACAGTCCGACAACAAGACCGAAAGATATGGCACAAGAATCGCTTGCTTGCACAATTTTGTCGTTGTAAATAAATACTTTAAATCGCACGGTTTCAAATCAATCATCGACCTGGCCGTCATCAGTGGCCCGTTGTTGAAATTTAAGATCAGGAAAATTAGTACGTGATATGGAGAAAGAGACCACTCGGCATATCGTCGGTCGTGCCAGGAAGGTCGGAGGAAGTATCTTATACATAGTAACTCTCAAGAATTTTTGTATGACACTGAAGAAGATTGAAAAATACCAGAAATTATTGGCAGTGTTCCACAGATATTCGTAATTGGCCCATTGGTGTGGTATACAATATACGACGGTGTTATGAAACTTAAACTAGTCGATTACAAATGCATAAGATGCTTCGTGGACGATATCTTCGTACTAGTGGCAGAAAAACATCTCCATAGTGTACGCGAAAAGGCGAGTATCATTACGGTCTGCAAATGGCTAAATGGTTTTGGGGTCAAACTACTTCACCAAAAAACCGAAGAAACTAAACTGGAGATAGGCAATCATTTCGTGTCCAAGAAAAACCTCGCACTGATGTTGGGTAAAAGATGAACCTTTAAGATACACTTGAAATATGCTGAAAGTAATATAGCAGTGACAGAACCTACTTGTTTCTGCGCATTCACTTTCTGTGGAATGAAGCGGCTGAATAGTGCCCTAAGTAAGTTCAACCGTCTACAAATAAAAGAACAAGTCATTGCAGAATGATAAAATAAATAGAGCAACGCGGACGAAACCAAGTGGATATTTCAATGTATGCGTTTTGAAAAACAGCCCTTTATAAGATATTTTCAATCACTATTTTTATTTGAAACTATTATTCTATTTTTCAATAATTATAATCGAATTCTTCATACTGCGCATTCTCCTTCACATATTCCACGATATTTCGGTTATGATTTACATGATACACAATGGCGTCTTTAAAGTACACATTCTGTACTTGGAAGGCAGATTCATGTTCAATCACACGTTCAAAAGGATAACCAAGGGGCATATCGCCGTCGTTTAGCGATGGGGTAACGACAAAACATAAAACGACAGCAAAACCATCAGCCGTGCCTCTCGGTATATTCATGTGTCTAGAAAAATACATTTGGTGTAAGTGTAAATCCTTAGGTAACTCCAAACCGTTTTCCAAACGATGATTAATCACATTATACATTTCGGTGAAGGACCAGCGTTTTTGTAAAGGAAACTTTAAAAACTCTGGATGCGTTATAGCATTAAAGCCGACTTTTATTTGGGCCTCAAATTCATCGAGCCATAGAAAATTTTCGCGATTTTGTGTGAGCGTTATCAGTTCGGCTCGCTCGTTGTATTTGGGTGCAATATAAACGTTGATCGTGGCCTTCACCTCAACGTCTGATTGTATATCTAAGGTGTAGCTGAATGGCTTGTGTGTTAGACGTTGCTGTCGCGCATAAATAGCGCGTGTCTCATTTAATTCCAGTTTTTCGCTCCACAAGTTGTTCACATCAATGTCTATATACTTGAAAAATGTGCGCATTGGATCCACTTTGGCACCGACCAACGCAACGCCAACCATGCGCAAATCGTCGGCAGTATATGCGGCAAAGTGCACGATATATCTATTCCACATGTCCAATACTTTATACTTCATGAGCGTGTAGAAAATGGGATCACGCAGCGCTGTCTCGTAATTGAGCAGTACTTGGGGGCCAACTTTACTAAACTGTTCATATTCGACTTGTGCCAGATACATGAATGAGTAGAACCAATAGGTTTGATGCTGCTTGGGCTCCAAAGCATCCCGGTTGCCATGAATTATATTGTAGAAATGCTTTTGCGCTGCAGGTTGATGCAAATCGAGCAAAGTTCCATTGTCATGCCAATAAGCACCGGTATCGGCTAATCTATATATCTCATTCGTCAATTTGAATACCAAATCCATTGTTTTGGGAAAACCATAATCACCGAATTCATAGTTGTTGTAGCGCTGCCAGAAAGTCAAGCCATTCCAGCTGACCAGCTGTGGATTGTAGCCAGTGGCTAATGTGTGCGCTAACGTCATATCCTCTCACGGCTTCAGACCATGTGACAGTCATTTCAAATTGTAACGTGCCATAATCATGCGTATTTTGAAAATCCACTCCTCACCCCCACTCTCGCCACGCATACTATATCTATTCGCTGTTATCTAGAAAAGGCGCATATTCGAGATTATGTTCATACCAGGCAGCATTGAAATCCTCATCCTCGAAGAAATATGACAGCCTTGACTCTGGATTTTTAATATAAATATGTCACGTGTGTAGTCCACCGGTGTCCAATATGTGGTAATAACGTTGAGCACGTCACTGAGCTCAGCATCGAAATTTAAAGTTGTTTCAACGTCTTTGTACCAACGCTCTTCGGACACTCCCATTAGGCACCACCACTGCCAAGGCGACCAGTCATGCAAGCAGCCAGCACTGCTGTTCCTCTTCTCTGCGTGCTTCTGTTCTCGCTGCCACTTCCTTTCACTAAAGCTTAGCGCTTTATTTACCAGCTGGCTAATGAAGAAATGCTGCGGAAATATCTCGTAGATCGGCGGTAGCGCGAATTGCCTGCAATCACTGCGCAGGCGAACCGCCAAGTTGAGCGCGTAGACGAACATGCCAGCATTGACGGTGGTACGCGCCCAGCATACATTGCGCTCGAAAGTTTGCCAGTCCTTGGCATAGGAAAAAAATTTCAATAACCCAATCGCCTGTTCGTGATGCGTGCGTACCATCGCGCCGAAGAAGTCGTTGCGGGGCAGCAAGCGTTGACGTTGCACAGCTTTTAGGAAGCGGCGCATATCGCTGTCGAATTTCTGGCAAGCATTTTGAGAAAAACATTAACAAAGAATATTATTAAGTTATTTTAAGCATAATTACTTACCTCATATTTCTCCTCTTCAGCGACGTAAGCGACGCCATGACAATAGCTGGGTCCCAATGGCTCCTGCACTTGCCACACAACTTCGAGTAGAAATTTCTGTCGCTTCAATAGCTCATCGGATGAGGCTTTGTCTGATTGCATTGAGCTGCAGCTAAGTGCTGTAAAAGAGCAACAAAGCAGAAAAGTACCAGCCTCATTTGATTGCTTTGGTATCAGCGTTTTTGAAGAGTCCAAACATGCTGCGGTGCATCTAATGGGGATTTTATAGTAGAAATCATATCAGCAGACTTAATGAAATATTATGTATGTAGCCGGTGCTGCCGTGCTTTTTCCACGATAACCCAGAGGCGCATGAGTCAAGGCCAATGCTAATATAATTTAATTAAACAGAATATGTGATATGTTTCAAAACATTAAACACCAAAAATTGACTGATAAGACGACAGTTGGTGCTGCTATGGCATTCCGGACATAAGCTTCTTGTAAAAAAAAAGGCAAAACTTTCTATTTCTTTGTTATAATTGAACATGAAAGCGAATTGCATTTAAGCAAGAACAGGAATTCTTTCGGGAAATGGTAAGTTAATTAACCTTCGCGGTATCTATCAGAATTCCAAATATCACTGAGGTTTTGGGTAATCTTAAAAACAAAAAGTGGACTCTTTCCAACCTTTTTGAAAAAAAACTACCTAGCCGATTTGTCAGTTTATATTAGACGGATAACTGTACTAATACCAGCACATATCCGTTTTTTAAGTACTCGTCTACTTTCAAATTTTCCCGGCGTATCAGTGTACCTCCGGATCCAGTAGAGATTGACTGTACGGTACCGAAGTTATTGTGTAGATCTTCGGAATTGTTGAACGAATACTGAGTTATTCATGTCTGGTCCAAGAGATTTTATAGCAGCTTGACTGTCAACAACGAAGGAGAATTCTGATGAAGCAACTAAGTTCGATTATGCTTACCAGATTTGTTGGCGTATTCGTTGCATATATTTCATGCCCAGTGATCCGCCGGTCCTTTTTCCTTTATCTCGAATAAAGAAGACGACATATCGCATTAAAATGTCCAGCTTATAGGCATCTGTGTAACTAGGGAGCTCGGCATGGCTTAGAACGTTGATAAGTTTCCAGTAGGTGCGTTCAAAGTCAACTTCCGTGATATGATAATAGTAACTTCTGTAATTCACCCCTACACTGTCTAATATGGAAGCATATTCCCTGCCAATTGATCGCAGCCTGTTGCATGCTCTAAGCGGTCCTTTTGACATATTTTTCTATAGGCGGAATGTCGAGATTTCATATCAACCGCCCTCGAGTTGAGATTTTGTCTAACTACATTTGAATGTACCCTATGTATTACCGGCGGCGGTAGCCCTAAGAT